CAAAGAGACCATTTACCTTTTGTACAAGGAGGTCACAACTATTCCCACTCATTAGATGTTAAATTGGATGGCTTGGGGCGAGTAACAAAGTTCGAGAAATTTTTTTTGGAACTTTATGTATAATCAATGACACTTTTACAACCACCCATTTAGAAATGTAAAGGATAAAAATGATTGTGACCTCCGTATACAAAAGGTAAATGGTCTCTTTGTAGACAATCCGTTTTAATTTTTTTTTCCATTTTTAAAATCCTATACTGTAAGGTAAAATTAGACAATCCCTTTTATTTCTTACTGTATTTATTTTTTCAATCCTACATTGTATGATAAAATAATTGGAAAAAATGACTAGGTGGGCTGGGTCTAGCCTTGAAAAATATTTTGGCCCTAGCCTAGCCCGAAAGTTTTGGCACAAGCTTGTGCTAGGTCAGGCCCGACCAATTGATGAGCTTACTAGTTACCCAATTTCACATCTAATAATTACTAGTGATTATGATCTTGTAAAAATTGGAAGAGAGGACTTTACATAGGCCAAAGGGGCTAGCCAGACCGAAGTGGACCACTCTATATTCTTTGATTTATGTACTTTCTACTTCAGAAAGAGTGACACATAAATTGAGATGTTTATCAACATATATATCACTAATTTGGATTGGAGATCCCCGATCAGTTCTAAAGGCACATAGCTAGTTCTATAATCATCAAATTCAGTGGAAATTGGCAAGTTCGATAAATCATCCAAATGATTCCTATCAATAGAATCTACGATCAGGTTTTTCCCACCTAGTTTAGTCTTGACTTTTTTAATATTTTATTTTATTATAATCCAAAGAATCAATGGATCCACATTGAAATCACCAATCTAGATAGAAAATGGTTGATGGGCTGCAGGCCTATCACAATAAGTAAAGCCTCACCTCATAACTCATAAAAAATTACAATTCGAGTGTTGAAAAGCCTTTAAAATGGATTATCTCAGTTTGAACATTATGATTGTGCAAAAAAATTAGGATTTCAAATTATGAAAATAATTTATATTACAACAAATTATCTAGACCATCTATTTCACCCTAAAAATAAGTGTTCTCTATTAGAAATTAATTTTAGAACCATCATGAGGATTTCCATTGCCGAAAGTGCTTTTGAAATGAAGATTTGAGGTGAAGCTTTAGTTTGCTTTTATAAAACCTAGGCCTGTACAAATTTCATCCATCTAAATTGGTCCATTAGAGGAGCAATCCGAGACCACGTACCAGGTTTTAACAGTTAAGAACATATTCAATGTGCCACTTAAGTCTTTATGCTAGGTCGACTGGTACCGTTTGGAACCATAGACTTGGATCATATAGATTCAGGTTGAAATGTATCCTTTCAAGAACGAAGTGCGGTTTCTTTATGCCTAAACACCAATTGGATTGTACCTGATTCCGAGCCATGAGATCTCCAAGTCTTCACTTGAAACCTTTATAATATTTTATTCCGGTGAGTTCCTTTCTCCGTCAACGTTCATCATTTATACGGGCTTCGGACGATAAACGTAAGGACATGATTTTTGCAGCAGAGCTTCACATTATCTTGCACTATCTAAAGGGAGAACCTTCTATGCACCGTTAGGTTTAGGGATTTTATATATACCACTTAAATGGTTAGGATAGCTTTAGCGATAATGGCTAGCTAGGATAGCTTCAGCCATAATGGCATAAGCAAGTTATTGATCATTTAGATTTAACATCTCATATTATTATTTTTTCTAAAAATTATATGAACACGAAATTTGACGCGTATCATCATCTCAATGGGACGAACTTAAAAAATATAAGAGTTATTTTCAAAAAATAACCAAACTATTGAAATTTTTGAAATATTTTGATCATTATTTTTTTTTTATTTTTTGTAGGTGCGAGCTCAATAGAGGATTAGACAACCTACCTTTGGTGTCAATATCATTTTCATAAAAAAGATAGGAAATAAAAGTACTTAATTTCTATGAATGCTCGGGCTCATACGTAGAAATGCGGCCCCATTAATAATCTATTTTAAAATAGATTTTGACAATTTTTGAAGTAATATGCAATCCCTAATATCAAGATCATTCATATGTAAAAGTAAACTAAATTTTAAAAGTAAAACTGAAGTAAATATTTAAACTATTGATTCTTTTTTTCTGGGGGACCATCATTTACATCGATGGACGGTTTATACCTTAGGGGACACAAATGTAGGAATGGCATATAATATATTCTCAAAATAAAATAATATTTAGACAAATTGGGGCCATCTCAGCCGTTCCTTCATATCGGACGGCCTGTGAGAGGGGTGGCATATAGGAATTCCCCCTCACCTTGGGGTCGTTAGAAAGCTCTCCCCCATCTAAAACCCTTAAAAAATCTCACAGAATTTCTCATGGTGGAAGCAAGGTTCCCTCTCTAGTGCATGGCTATGTTGCAGAGCTTGTGCATGGCTCCCATGGCGTTTAGGTATAGAATTAGCCATGGCCTGAACGTTTTGCCCGTCAGATTGGGGCCAAGGCGTCAATGGCGTTCTGTTTTCAGTTGCCATGCTTGCCTTTCCTCTATGTCCTCTGAATCTCGCCATATCCTTCTTGGAATGGCTGAGAAGGAGCTTCAGCAACTCGCTCTTGAATTTGGACAGGTGAGGAAACAATCAATCATTTGCTGCAACTCATTTGACTGAACATGGTCATGTGCTGAAGTTTGACAATCTTTCTTTGGAGTTTTTTATTTGTGAGAGAAAACCTTAGGAATCCTTGTCGAATTTTGGAGAGATGGTTGTTTAAGGATTTGGTAGAGTTTAGAACTAAATGGAAAGAAAGATTGTTATTGTTTTTTCTTTTTTGCTACAGTTAGAGGAAAATGGAAAGATTTTGGAGTTTTTGGATGGATTCTTAATTTCTCAGTGATTTTGTTGCTTCGAATTTGCTCGAAGATTGTGAGTTCTCACACTGTGAATATCTTTAGGAGTATTTTAAGGTTTAATTTGGTTTGCAGTTTGAATTGTGACAAGTGGAATGATTACTGTGATTATGGCCTTGCAATTATAGAGAAGGGATTAAATGGGATATGAAACTTTGGTTATTGGGGGTTTAGACTATTTTTGGAATGTTTTGGATTCACTCTGAGCACATTATTGACTGATTATTGGTGTTCTGCGATGTGCACACTGTGGTTTAGTTTCATATTTGTGATTGTTGTTTCAAATAGTTGAGGTTTCTCCATGTGTTCGTCCATGCAAAGTGTAATTTCTTTACTCGACTAAACGAATTCCTTTGTACTCTCTTTCTCTCTCTCATCCACCATCACCATCACCATCACCATCACCATCACCATCACCACTAACTACTATTATCGCTACTACTTCTACTACTAGTACTAAGACCAGTAAAATTTCTACACTACTTCTATTACTACTTTCTCTTACTTCTATGACCATTCCAAGTGATTATTCGAAGTCTGAGTTGGACTCAGCAACTTTTTCCAAACACTGATAGCAAGTTTTTTTTTTTTAAACTTGGATCCTGCTGTGGAACCAGGCAGGGCTGTGACGGAGAAAGTGACCCAGACTCGGTCGAGTCTGATTTCCAAGGCCTAGGCTCGAGTAAGCAAGTCAGACTCGATGTTGTCTTCGAAAAATTAGCAAAGGAACCTTGGAAATCTGTGAAACCCTGCCGATTCCTTTGTTTTTTCACTCCTACCCAGCATTCTGCCAGTCCTATTCCAACTCAGAGTCCACAATTTTTCACAATTGACTCCTACTTCGTTTACCACTACTACTACAATTTATGTCTACAAGTAATGGCACTACTACCATCACCACTACTGCTACTACTATTATTATGACTGCAACATCTTTTTCTTCTTCTGTTGTTGTTGTTGTTGTTCTTCTTCTACTACTACTACTACCCGCACCTCTTCTAGTACTGCTGTACTATTGGGTAGTCATGGAATTCAGAGCTTCAACTTTGGATCTTTGATGAAGATTTCTATTACATAAGCTAGGTGCTACCTTACAATTAGTTTAATCAACTAAACAAGCTAATGTGTCTCTTTTATAGTCTATTTCACAACTAAATTTTCATTCTTCTGATCTCTTGACCAGCAAAGCTATCGGGGAAAGCAAATCCACAGTCTGCTTTACAAGAGAAAGGCCAAGGACATCCAGGATTTCAGTCACAGTAAGTTAAAATCTCACAAAATGAATTTCATGTGCTCTTTTAGGTATAGGAGCTTGAGGAATGGGATACTTTTCAAGAAGTCAGGGTCTTTGTACATTCTTAATGATTTGATATCTCTTCATTTTATATGTGCATTACTAATGATTTGATATCTCTGCATTTTGAAATGCTATCATTTGTAAAACTACTTTCTCATTTGTGGTTTCATGTTTGATTGTCGGGATTTGAATTTATTTTCTTAATTATATATATGCTTTATGATGTTTCTATGATGATTTTATTACTTTTGACAATTGCATTCGGTATTCTGGGTATGATGGTGAGTAGTTCCTCAAGCTTTTAGAGACTCTCTCAAAGAAGCAGGCTGGAAGGTTGGTCGCTCTCCTATTCATCAAGTCGTTACTGCAGCAGATGGAACCATCAAGGTATGGTGTATTTGTCACACTGAAGATGGGATTTAGATTCCACTATCTTTATTTTATTTGTTTATATTATCGGTTTCTATGTAAAGAAAGATATAAAAGGACTTATAGTTGAGTTAATAGTGATTGGTAGACCTTGATACACTTTCTTGGATGGTATTTTTCAATAGATCTAATTTTTCAGAATTGATTGATTTTTGATTGATTCTCTTGCCCAAGCTTGTGCACATGGAATGGTTTATTTTAGACAATTTGTTGTATTAGGCTCTTTAGAGACTTTTGTCTTCACATATGAGTAAAACATGATAATTTGAAATTCAAGAGCACATTTTGTTGAGAATCATTGCTTTGTCTATATTGGCCACTCCATATGGAACAACTTTCTTGTTGCTATGTTACTAAAAATTCCACCCTCTGTGCCATAACTTGTGTGGACTACGCTCTGTTTCCATTCAATTGAAGCTTCATGAGATTTTTTTTTGTTTTATGAGATTTTTTTTTGTTTTATTGTCTTCGTAAGGAAATATTTTACCTCTTGCATTCCCTTCCCAGTTGGGAAATTTCCAGTTGCATCATGCATGATTAAATTGTCACTTACCTTAGTGTTCATTGAATTGCTTTTGCATATATTTGTTTTGATAAATCACAAATATAATATTAAATCAAAACAAATATTCCAATGAATACGAGCGACAAAGAGATGAGATGAATCACCATGATGGCACAGGCACCTACTTGAGATGAATTTGTGAAAATTCCCATAGCTTCTTGTACACGTGTTTGTCATATGTAATGTTTTTGGTATGACTTCATCAGTCCTGCATTACATTTTTGGTACAACTTTATTAAGGAAACTGAGAAATTAAAATTGAGGTTTTCTCTTCGTTTTGCTGAGGCTTCCAATCTAAAGACTTCAGGGAATTCACTCTGAAATTTCAATGCCATCCTTCTAATAAAAACATCCCCCTCCTCATAATAAAACATTTTTCCTTTTAATAGAGACATTTTTTGGGGCCTTAATAGTTACTTGTTTGCCCAACCAACAGTCAATCCCTCTCAGAAGCTCGCTCCTGCGTTACAGGGAGGTGGATCTCCCTCCTCTGTGATTTTTAAACTTGGGGAACTCGATCCTTCGTATTAGGAACTAAGGTCCTGAATTACGCAGAATCCAGTTTGCTTAACATCATATCTGAGGGTTTATAGGTACACTGAATTGAAGTTCCATCCATAGTTACCGGAATCACCAAGAAGGTGGTCTCTCCAGCTCCGGAAGCTCGACCCTACACTTCCAGACAAGGGAACCCTATTCCAGATCCTTTTTGAATTTAAGGATATGCAAAATTGGGGATCAAGATCCCTATTTTATGGGATCAATCCCTCTCATTCAAATTGTGGGTCCATAAGTAAGTGGAATTGAGCCTTCACCAGCATGGAATCGAGTTTATTTTGCGTTGATTCCAAAGATCACCATCACATTTCGGGTGTCATGATCTCCCCCCCCCCCTCTCTCTCTCTCTCTCTCTCTCTCTCTACTACTACTACTACTACTACTACTACGTACGTACGTACTACTACGTACGTACTACGTACTACGTACGTAACGTAACGTAACGTAACGTAACGTACGTAACGTAACCGTAACCGT